TTCCTATTCGATAATAATCGTTATGGTGCATAAAAAATATTTACAAAAAAAGAACCTAATATAAAATATTCTAACAACCGGGCTTATCGCACAAAGCTTTCTCTTACAGACAAACTTCATATCCGATATTCATATATCGACATCGATGTTTTTCTAATATCGGCCATCCCTACTCTGCTGCCGGTACCAAATAATTCGCAGCGGAACTCAAAAAAGGCCAATTTGTTAGCGAACGAAATTATTTTGTCGTTGATGTTTTTCATGAGAAATAACTGTATTCCTATCAACGTGTAGATTCAAATATACTCAGCAAAATATGCAGTTATCAAGTTGTCGTCCACACTTTAAGAATATCAACGTAGACTTTGTAGAAAGTCATCTGCATGGGTACCAGTGTGGGCTGCTTGCCTGCTGAAATCTATATATTAATACTTGAAGCAAAAACTTTGTACTCCTTTTTACGGAAATATCGCTGAGGGTCGAGTGTGAATTTTCACACACTTATAATTTACAAGCGTGCCCGCGGTTACACGCGTTAGATTACAATAAAAAATATAGGATGCCTATGTTTTATTCTGATGTATGCATCAGAACACAACATCAACATCATCTATCCTACAGTAAAGTTTCATCAAAATCTGTTTGGTAGTTTATGCGTGAAAGAGTAACTAACATCCGTACTACAAATTTTACCCGTTTATAATATTACTAGTTGTGCCCGCGGTTTCACATAGGCTATAGTTTATATTAAATTTTAATATAAACTATAGCCTATGTATTATTCTGATGCATAAGCTATATTACTGTAAATTTCATCAAAATCCGCTCGGTAGTTTTTGCGTGAAAGAATAACAAACTTTCGCATTTATAATATTAATTAATAATATTAAGATATAGGCAAGAAGTGGAGTATGCTACTATTTATTTTAGATTGTCTCTTTTGTATATTATTATCTATGATACTGTTCATGTATAGGCAACAGATTTTTTTAATTGATGAATATGGAATAAAATGGAAAAGAATAGAAAGAATAGAAAACCATTTATTCAAATAAATTTAATTTAAGCACTATTAAATAGTTAGTTTTTTTTTTAATCTAGAAAGAAAGAAAAAAATCTTACGCTTATTCGGAAAACTGTCTCATCACAAGAAGAATGAGTAAGAAACTTGTGTGTTGCTCTTTTAAACAATCCTTGTAAGTTCACATTTTACAAGTTGAAACGTGTGAATACAAACTATCAATCAGCACTAATCTAATATAATTTAACCAGCATTAAATTATAAATAAAATGGTGCAGTTACCTCTACAGTGAAATGTCAATGTTCATTATTAGTAAATTATTACATTTACTACGAGGTCGACATTTGACAATGCATCTGACTACCCCATTCGGAATAACAGTCGTGAATGTATACTCGGCGGTCTAGCGGTTTACCATACTGTCTTATTTCCGCAGGTTCGATTCTTCGTACGGTACAAACATTTGTATTCATGATTATGACTGTTTGTATTGATTTTAATTATTTCTGTGTATGTATTTACAAAAACAATATCTATGTATTTATATCAGTTCTCTAGTGCCCATTAACATAAGCTCTTATCTGCTTAGTTTGGGACTAGATTGCGCTGAGAATAATCCTGAAATATGAATTATTAATAATATCTATTAAATGAGATAATCGTTCCTCCATTCGGTATTTGCGAACCTAACTGCCCTGTAATCAGGTCACATTATTTCGCATGACCACTATTCAATTCAATAACAAAACACCCCAGATCAAAACCGAGGGGTCTTCGCCATTCGGAACCGAACCCGTTTAACCGTCAGCTAGCCGCCGTTGAGCCCCATTTCGTCCAAGGTCAAGGCCACCCAAGTCAGGTGGTTGCCAAAACACTAAATCGCTAAAGCAACTGTCAGCAGATGTAGGGAATCTAAAATACGAATCCTTATAACTCTGCACACCTGCACTTTATATAATAGCACGCACACATGTAATCTTGAGTACTTATTACTTTCAATTCAGTCTACGAAGGGACCGGGATAATAAGACTCAATTGTGATACCTGCTTATGTGTGTACGCAAAAAATACAAGCTTTTGAGATGACTACCTACTCTGTACCCAACCTTCAATTCGTTGCCTACAGAATAATAACAATAAGAGTACCTACTTGGGGAGTAGGATGAAATATTTCTAACTAAGAGCGTAGAGCTCTTAGTATGTAGAGTTTAAAATTATGAAATTAGAATATTATTGGTTCTCAGTGGTTAATAAAGAGTTAATATAGTATAGTTAATATTTTTATTTTATTTATAACACTTTATTGCACCAACATAGAAGTTAAAAAAAAATTAAAACATAAAAACCAAACTGAGTAAAAAATACATATTATTATATTTCTCTCTTTTAAAATTCTTTTATATGTTCTAATGAAAAAAATCTATGAAATTTATTATATTGGTTAATATGTATATACCAAAATATATATTTTAATTATGTGTGGTTTATGTTATATGTTGATATACAATGGATATTACTCATGATTTTGCGTTTATCTTGTGATTAAACATAGCCTACTCCATATCCTTGGAATACAAGTATATATACAACCGTATCATTTCATCATGTCATAGTGAGGAATAGGATTGCTAATAATGTACACTAATGAATCCATTCCTTACAATGTTAGGTTGACCTCCAAGCAGTTCCCTCTGGAAAATGTCGTGATTTATTCCTGGTGAATTTGTCACGATGGATTGACTGACTTGATCTCATACTCATCTCATCAGCCTCCACTGATGCCCCGCTGGTGTAAACCGTTACCGCAGGTCAGTCCACTATCATCAGTTTAAAAAACTATATGTTTTAATACAATTCATTTAGCTATTCCGTCGTGCAAAATTAGAGATTAATATGATTAGGAACAGAGTGGTGAACCTCTTTTTTTATTGTGATTTGAACAATAAAAAAAGAGGTTCATCACCTCTTTTCAGGTGACTTGATTATTATACAATTACTAGCTGTACCCGCTAAATTTCAGTATAAAATATAGCCTTTGTGTTATTCTGATGTATAAACTATATTACTGTAAACTTTCATCAAAATCCGTTCAGCAGTTTTTGCGTGAAAGAGTAACAAACATTCATACTTACAAACTTTTATAATATTAATAAGATATACAATACATCATTACCATATCAATCCCGTTAGCTTAACTCACGGATTCACACATGTGCGACTTATGACATCCCTCTTTTTATATCGGAGACTAAAAGGTGAATAGTAACTCATAAAAGAAAATATTTCGAAATGTCTAAATGAACATACGCCACTTTTGAATTTCAGGTCTTCGGATGACAAAGGGACAAAGTAACGTCACAAAGTTTCCGTTTTGCAAACGCTAAAAGCCATTGAGTTAAGAACCCTCTTTTTGAAGGTCGGTTGAAAATAAGCATACACGGTCTTGATATTATAGCTACATAATGCGTGTGATTAATATAATAAGTAATTCATACGCACACAATAGGATCACTGTATGGTTTTCAGAGAATGGAATGAATATTTGTTGCATTTATATTTTTATCGTAAACTCGAATTAACACGGTCATGTTGAATTCATTTTTTTATGTAATTCATATGACCAATGTTAAGAATATTAGTTTATACAAATGTTGAACGCAATTTTATAGTTTCTATTGTTTGCTTGAACGGACGCAACTTTATTATTAAGTATTTTTTCTGAATTACATCAATTATTGTTTTGTATTTTTTTTCTATAATGAAGAAGTACAAGTACACATGGTGAAAGAAAAAAGGCAGATATTAAATATTATAGAGAATAGACGAGCGAAAATATTAGGACGCTGGATACGGTACGATGAATTTACGAAAATTATTATTGAGGGTAAAATAGAAGGAAAGGGGGAGGGGGGGAAGACCAAGGCACAGCTACATCAAGGTAAATAAAGACAAAATTGGAGTCGTGTTGTATCAACATCTAAAGAGCATGATAGAAGATAGCAGAAAGTGAAGAGCTACATTCCACCGACAAGAGCGTGGCTCTTAAATTATGAATTAATTAATTAAATGAAATGAAACGTTGATTAATATTAAGTACATAATTTATACAGCAAAATACAAACAACAAACAATTTAATGAGCCACCTAATTGACAAGCAGTAACTGTCTCCTATATGCGTGAACAGCACCGTGGATATCACGTTATCATAACCAAAGAACTAAAATGCCTTATTTATTTATTACACTAAATACAGAATAATAAATAAATAGTAAATATACATTTACCGATATAAAAAGCGGTTTATTTTTAAGTGATAATAATGGAATGGCGTCTGCTCTAAAGGTACACAATGGCTAGTTACATGATGTCAGGTCACCTAGGCTATCGTGGCAAATTCACCAGGAATTTTACGTGATGGTTTTTAGGAAAAAAGGCGTGGGGGCCAATATGACATAATACATTGCTAGCAATGGGCACACGTAGGATATTATTAATCCATATTACTAACAATCCTCACAGAAAGTGGTCTTATTGCTAAACAATATCTTCCAGACTAACTTTGGGTGAATAGAGAAAGTAAAGGTGAGAAAATGTATCTCGGTATATATATCTAAGTAAAGTTAAATACATATACCTCTTACCATGTAATTTCTCTGCCTAATCACACCCTATGACCGAACACAACTTTGAAATTTTAAAATACCTGTGTTCTACCAGTATATAATTAGCGTTACAGTTGTATTTCAACTGATGAATACTCACCACTTCTCTTTTAAAAATAAACAATAAAAAGTTCTATATTAAACTCCCAAAAATTTATTTTTCATCTGAATTTGCTATCCAATATTAATTTCTACGCTTGTCTTGCTTAATTCGTCGAAAAACTAACTTAAAGTATAGGATTTCTTTAACAGCATGTCTGCGGTCTATTATTTTTATGGAAACGTAAGGTAACATTACGAAATCAAACAACAACAGTGTGTTACCACAATTTATTGGAATTTTCCTAAAAAAATTGAATAAAAAATATTGTATTTCCTCAACATGTTACTTTAGAAATGAACAATAATACAGTTTCAGAAACGCCCGCGCGGCCTCGTCTGCCGTTTAACAATTATCATTATTATTTATATTATTATTATTATATAGTTATTATAGTGCGAGCGCGCGGGTGTCGGCGGCTCCGCCCCGTGTCCGTGTGTCCGTCGCTGCGTCTGTCTGTCCGTCTGTGTGGTCGGTCGGGGGGGCGTGTCTTGTCAGTCTCACTCGCTGCTCTTACACTAATCCTCTTCTTCACCACTCTCCGACTCTGAAAACCACAGTGTTTATTATTATTATATTATTGTGTTTATTATTATTAATACCATAATAGTGTAAATTAATTATTACACTAGCTGTCCCGGCAAACGTTTTGCCATATAAATTTAAGTACTAATATGACAATTAAAGAATAGGTGTTGGTCGGTAGAAGGGTGAACGTTTAGGGTTGTATGTATTTTTTAATGCAAAAATATAATGTTACGGGTGGACAACTCATATCACTTAGTGTGAAAAATAGATAGTAGCCGATTCTCAGACCTACTGAATATAAAATTTCGTAAAAATCGGTCAAGCCGTTTCGGAGTATGGTACTATACTTCTCCTAATATTCAGCGGCTGCTATCTATAGGACTAACATTGTGACACAACAATTTTATATATAACATTATTATATACTTCTCATAACAGACTTTTTATACGAGTACTGAATACGAACAGCCGTCATCAACGTTATGATTTGATATGAAATAACTGTAGTGCGGGCAGTGTGAACGAAGAGCGAACGGTCGCGTTCCGAGGATGACCCGCATCATACTATAGCACGCTTCGACACCGGGCCGCGCAATGTACGCGGGCCGGCTCTAATAGTGTGCATTGGACTTATAAGGTCACTTATATACAATCTAGTCTTTTTTTTTTGTGTAATATGGAGAGCTGATTGCTGTGCAAAATCCAACGGAATTGTACGGCAGTGATTCTAATTTATATATAAGCTTTATGCTATTACTATTTACTTTTATGTGTGTAATTACTAACATTAACTCTATGAAATTTGTAATACTAAGAAAATTGCAAAAAAAAAAGGTAGAAATAAATATTTTTTTTATATAATCTATCTGGACAATTTACACAGCACCATCTTGTCACAAAATAATAAGCAGAGCTTGTGTTATAGGTACTAGACAACTAATACATTTTATTTTGTAAATACATACATAATGTACACAGACAACACCCAGACCAATACACTACATGAGCACAATAGATCTATGTAGGTTGCAGTATTACAGGTCTTACACCTGACAATAGCCCAAAAATGTCGAATAAAAAATAGGCCCTATGCTATAAAAAAAAAACAGCAGGGGTTATATAATAAAAAATGGCAGACCAAATAACTCACCCTCCTCAGCACTCTGGAGCCACTCCACAAACTTCTTCATCTGGTCGAGGAACATCACCTTGCCCTTGCTGGAGTTCGGTTCGCGGTACCACTTCAGTATCACCTCCTCGGAGAGAACATTGGTCTTGTACAGCATCAGTACCAGCTTGCTGAATGCGCGCATGAAGCTCATGTTCTCGTAACAGTACTCTTGAACCTGTTTATTATTAAAAAAAATAAAAACTATACTTATTTTGCGATAAACATCTACATGAGTCGTATAGCTGAAAAAACCGCTAACTACCGTTATTTGCCAATTTTATGGTTACCTACTGATAAAATGCGGTTATTAAAGGTTAATTATCCGATTGCGACAAAGAAAAAGAGTAATAATCTGATGTTTTTTTTTTATACAGGAATATATCTGGTCTTAATAAATACCTCATCCTTAGGGATTTTATAATCCATTAAAATAGTCTAGTCGGTTATTTAACCGTTAATAACTGTTAGTGTTTCTCACTGTGATCTATTTATAATGCATTTAAAATCAATAAAATTAATAATAAATGATAGACCGTGTTGACAGAAAGAAAAGAAGTTTTTTATTTTAATTTTTAATTACAATTATATGGCTTTTATACAAAAAGAGGTTTCATGTGCTAACATATTGCCGAGGGCAAAATAATAATACAAGAACATTATAATTACTACAATACAATAATTAGCTTAATATTAATAATAATCTTAATATTATCCCGATCGGTAAAATTACAATTTTTGATGTACATATATATTTCTGATTATCTTACCCAACAGCTAATGAGGTGGTGAACCATTGGATATTATTAATGCTGTGAGAAGATTCGTTTGATGTACTTCCATAAAATACAGTAAGTAATTTATTTGTAATCATACTTAAACTTAAAACTCCATGATAGGGAAGAAAATATATTAGTTTATTTATTTGTGTACAATGGTTCACAACTTTTTCGGAACCTAAATTTAAATATTTATTTCTTAAATCACAATACAGGTTATAATATAATATATTTACTATTAATATATTCCTACTGAATATCTTTTCTAAGTGATACAAACGTTGCAAAGCTAAAACAAACGAATCTGCAGAATTAATACTATCAATGTTTGTTATTAATGATAATTTTATATCAAAACACTTATTTATTAAACTAACTGACTCTTTGAAAACAGTCTCACTACATTTATGCTCGGGGAGGGATTCGTTAAAACATTCTTCGCCTCCCATAAACGTTGGCTATTGCATTCTAAATCAGAGTAATCTTCTGAAGTATGTAAAACAACTGCATTATTTAATGATTCAACATTATTGAATGACCTGTATGAACCAGAAACAATGTAACCAAATCGTGTGTTAAGCAGTATAGGATCACATGGATTTCCTTCAATTTTACCATCTTTTAATGCTCGAAAGAATATATCCGAAGAAAGCAAGAGATCCACTTCACCTGGTACATGAAAGTTAATGTCTGCCAAGGCGACATTTTTGGGTACATTCAAATTTGTAATGTCAATATTATTCTGAGGGAGTTTTGTTGTAATGGTGTCAATAATGTAACAAGTTGCGAATAAACTAAATGGTTCGGTCATAGAATGAACATTAATATTTACACATTTATACAATTTATTAGATTTCTGACCAAGCGTAATAATGTTTTTACTAGATTGAGACTGAGGTAAACCCAGTATTTTTGCTAGTCGTGTGGTACAAAAAGAAGTTTCACTGCCGGAGTCAACCAGCGCTCGGACAGTATGCTTATTATTTTTTATATCAAATACTGATACTTGTACAGTAGGCAACAAAATATTGCTTACCTTATTATTGGTAGTGTGCATAATGACCTGTTCTTGTGAAGACTGTACTTCGCTTATACCTGCCTCACCATCAGATGCTACGAGCATAGCTGGTGGCGACGAATCCATGTGTAATAGCGTGTTATGAGAAACAGACTTACAGGTTGCACATTTAAAGTGATATTTACATTTTCCACCATGTGAAAATAAACATATTTTACAAATATTATTATTATTTACAAAATCAACGCGTTTATGAACAGACAATAAAATGAACTGAGGACAGTTATAAAGCCTATGACTCTGAGCACATAACTTACAAGTAATGTTAAAATGTTTTTTGTCTGCTGACTGTACATAATTATTTACACATTTACTTTTAGGTGGTTCTAACCCACACGATTCGAGAGCAACAGCTCTTTTATCTAAAAACAACAGTAGATCCGACATTGTGGGTTTGACAGTATGGTCTCTCTCGCAGTGATAGAGTTTGACTGTAAACGGATCAATTTTTCTACAAATAATATTAACTAGTAATGAGTCCCAGTATTCTGTGGGCTCGTTTAAATTTTTTAAAGCTGCTAAATTTTGTTTAACCTTAACAATTATATTTCTGTAATTACATGCGGTACCTCTATGAAATGGACTTATATCTAACAAATTATTTATATGATTACTTACTAATAAGAACGGATTATTATACCTATTCTTCAAAAGAAGCAGCGCATCTTGGTATGAATCGTTGCAAAGCGGTAAATTGTCAATTGTAGAGAGTGGCTCGCCTCGTAGATATTTCTTCAGGTATATTAACTTTTGTATGTCACTGAGATTATGGTCTTTGTGGATGACAGCAGTAAAGATCTCGATAAAAGGTATATACTCGGAAAGTTCCTTACCATCAAAAACTTTAATTTCTATGGGCGGCAACTTTGATATTGATGATGAAATGGTTGATGGAATAGACTTGGTGTGATGATTTAATGCAGCATTTAATTTAAAATACCGTTCCTCCATTTGAACTTCATCCTCATCATCATCAGGATCGTGGTACATGATGTCCGCATTAATGGCGGTATATTTTTTATAAGAATCCTCTAAAATTCCCTTACGGAGATGTAATGATTCAGTGTCAGCAACCCCTGATGAGAGAAACGTTTCCAACCGGGTAATGGTTGCCTTACAACGGCCGCGTTCGAAACGAAGTCTCTTGAGGTCAACTGTTGATTCTTGCACTGATGGATTAATCATTTTATTATATGGGTTTCGGCACCAATTTTGTTAGTGTTTCTCACTGTGATCTATTTATAATGCATTTAAAATCAATAAAATTAATAATAAATGATAGACCGTGTTGACAGAAAGAAAAGAAGTTTTTATTTTTATTTTTAATTACAATTATATGGCTTTTATACAAAAAGAGGTTTCATGTGCTAACAATAACGAAAAATGTATTTTTAACCGCTTGAATAGCGTTCATTAAGGTTACAAATTAATATAAAATAAATGTAGTGCGGGCAGTGTGAACAGAAAGCGATCAGTCGCGTTCCGAGGATGACCCGCATCATACTATAGCACGCTTCGACACCGGACCGCGCTGTGTACCCGGCCCGGCTCTAATCGTGTGCATTAAACTTATAAGACCGCTGATATACAGTATAGTCTTACTAATATTACAAATGTGGAATATGTGACTGTGGACGGATGGAAGGTTTGTTACACTTTCACGCAAAAACTATTGAATGAATTTTAATGAAACTTTACAATAATATATCTTACATATCAGATTAACACATAGGCTACAAATTTAGCGATATAGAAACTGCGGACCTAAAAATTAAAATTTTCTTTGTAACTGGAATAGCCACCTTATTGGCAACCATCGCCTATATACATAAACACTACGGCATCATGTTATTTCATGATTATGATACTGCTCGTTCCGCCCCACTAATCTGAAGAAGAGTCCGGTTTCTATCTCACACACCTCTCGTTAGCTCTATGGCGGCGGTGGACGGTCTTTTCATTAATAAATTCGATCCATTTGATAAAAAAATGTTATGATTTATTGAATTTCAAGGTCGAGAAATTCATCTCAACTACACACTACGTGCTATAATAATAATATAGCTAGTATGAAATAAATATTACCTTGGTGAGCAAAGCAATTTCAGACTTATCCGACTGCGCGAACGCGGCCAATAGCGGCGTGTAGTGCCTCAGATGTTTGGCCGCCTGTTCGGCCAACAACTCTTCCTTTTTATTCCACTCGCCGCGCGACATTACGCACTGCCAGATCTGAAATACGTCTTTCATTACCAGACTGCACTCTATGACGTTGATATTAAGGTCGATATTGGGTTATCAGGCTGCCGTATCGACATGGCGAAGTGATTTGTGACGTCAGCAGCGGTTAGAACGAAATACTCGTTCACCCCACGCCGGCGTCACGCGACACAACGCTCTGACTCGTCATCGGGTATCATCATTTGAAGTAATGTAATAAAAAAAAATAAACTGCAGAAATCTCCTATTTCAATAAATTCTTTAACTTTGTATTGCGCAATATCACGTAACCAACATGCGAAAAACGACTCTATTGCGTTTAGATAAAGATGTGTAAATAAATGATAAAGTAATTAACACATAGCAACCCAATTAAAATTACTATAAGAGTTGCACTGAGCGGAATTATGTTAGTAAATTTAAAATTGAGCATACAAGTATACAAAATCACATTTCATGGTCCTTCGAGCCTAAAGGCACGCTTATGTTCTGTTCGGTATTATATATATCGTATAGCACCAATATCTCTAACAAGAGACGAGTTACATAGCCACATCAAGTCCCAATAGTTTGTGTTACAGAAACTTACTACTACTAGACAACACTGATAGATATACTTAAATACATTTGGAGTACATATATTACACACAAAATATTGTCGTAGAAAAAACTCAGATCAATACAAACAATCGTAGCTGTGAATACAAATGCGAATATAGGGCGAGGTATCAAACCCGAGACCATCGGAATTAAAGTGTTGTGGTAAACCGCTAGAGCACCGAGGCAGTCTAAATATACATGTAAATGTTACTCACGATGGCGACGACTTCGTAGTCGGGTATGTCGTGTGCGGCGGCCATATCGCGCAACTCCTGGATGAGATAGCGAACTGGCTTCTCGTCTGCCAACTCATCCAGTAGGGTTTGCGTTAGCTGGCGGCGCGCCTCCTGCAAAATAACATACCGTGAGTAACGAGATGAGATGACACTGTCAACATCAGACTAGAGGGCATATATGTACCTACTAAAATATTTGTTGAAATATAAATCTACACACGTAATTGCAACATTTTTATTGTTACTTATTTTTGTCTCTGGAAGTAACTAGTATATAGATATAGGCTTGACCTAGTTTATTATTATTAAGCTTGCCAACTATACATCTTTATAAGTGCAATATAGAATCTATAAATAACATATATTATATTACAAATCTTTGAATTGCTCGGCATGTTCTATACTATAACAAGCATGTATTATACATATAAACCTTCCTCTTGAATCCGTTGCGTAATTTAAAAATCCTAAGCGCACAGACAGTACCGGCGACTGTTTCATACTATGTAAAGTTAAATACATACTTGGAAGGCCTGCGCGCGATGTAGTTTGAGCAGCTCAGCGAGACCTCGTGAACCGAACGAGGAGGCCAGCACATCCTCGCTGCGACGGTTGAGGGGCAGGAACTCCAGCAGCCTGTAAGGAACAAGACCAATAAGAACACATTAATGCACTGTAATCTTACTAATATTATAAACGCGGATGTTTGGAAGCAAGGATGGATGGATGTGTGATACTTATTCACGCAAAAACTGAATGGATTTTTATGAAACTCTACAATTATGTCATACATCAGAATAACATATGGTCTAATAAGGCACAGCTGGTAATATACATTTTATTCTAATAATACACCGATTATATCCCTAAAACAGCCACTCTATAGGGCCATTAAAATCGAAACAAATTACAAAGGATGCTGCTACAAACTGAATTCTTACTATAGAGATATTGTACAAAGGTGAAAATGCAGTCTTAAATATCAGTACTACTTGACAAAATAAACCTAATTTTACTATTTATTGTTGCTTTCACTGTAGCACCATTTATGACTCGGTCACAACAGTGCGACGAGGCAGTACATGGGGCATTTGTTCTCTCCCAACACTATTTAGCGATTCCATTGAAAAAACCACAAAATTAATAATGTGCAGGGAAATAAAGACCTAGCTACACACTAGGGTTTGGAATGCAATCATTGTAGGGTCCTATAGAACCTTCATAAACTAACAGACTATTAAACAATATCCTACTTCTATTTTGTATTATACTTATTTAATATAAACATAATTACAGTCCACATATTACGTTTAATTACCAGTCTAATGATCCGGCTCCAAGGACCATAAACTATAATAGCGCGCGAGTCGTTCTCGGTGGTGAAATATGACGTATGGGCGACCGATTCTGTGTTATTCATAATCTCAAGCCGCTTCGCAGCACTGCAGCGACCACTAAGTCGGCAGACTCCAGTCGCCAAAACCGACAATATACAAACTAAAATATTAAAAAAAAACACCTAGTGTGTGGCGGGTACACACCTGCCTTCCAGCTGTCCTCTCTTGAGGGCGGTGACGAGGGAGGCGACACCGCGCTCCTGCTTCACAGTGGAGAACACCTCCAAGACGAAGTCCAGCGCCAGGTTGTCCTTCAGCAGGTGTTCGTTCACCAGCACCAGAAGCACTGACGGCGGCACGCATCCGTTGCCTACGCAGACATTCAAATTGCAATTTTATTATCATATAGAGTTCAAACACAAACGTCTTCGTCGATACTTTTTCTACGGGAGACATGGCTGAAGTAGGAATCGAGAAACGAACTTCACAATAGCGCGGGAACAGGGATTGCATGGGAGTCATTACTATAATATGGACTAATGAACCCTTTACTAGCAATGTAACATATATTTAACTTACACGTGGTTATCCCTGAAAACGTAGTGTTAACTTCCTGGTGAATTTTCCACGGTGGGCTAATTGACCTGACCTCACATTTTTTATCATCAGGCGGGTGTACCATGCATTTTTTATCAATATTTATTTGAATATGAATGTATTATATTGTAAGACTACACAAACTTCACTTACATATCCAGAGTGCTGTCATTCGCGCCAGCTTGATACGTTGAGGGGGCTCGAAACCCTTCAGGTACACTAGGACCTGTAATAACAATTTAGATATTAACTAAAAACTAAGTATACCATCTTTTATTATTAATATAATATACTTATGTATGTATATACATTATTAGCCCATCATGCTTTAACCCCTAACAAATTGAAATAAAAAACATATTTAGTAAAGTAACTAGACAATATTAAAAAAAACACATTAAAACATACACATTAAAACATACTAATCAAATCATATACCACCCACGCGGCCTATTCAAATCATGTACCACCCTCGCCGCCTAAGACGAGGGGTTCCGCTAGGATTTTTTTTGCAAACACTACTATTTTTCTATTACATACATTTTCCTTGTAGACTCATCTGCATTTGTAACTGTGATGCATTTTTACTGCCGTCAAGTAGCTTGCTTTGTATGCAATTCGGTTTAAAGGTGAGATATGCCAGTGAAATTACTGGCTACAGAGGATCTGGAATAGATTTACTGTAATCCACTGCAATGGCAATAATGCATAGTGTCACATGACAATCTGATGTTCCTGTATATAGTTACCAATTACCATCATGTGGACCTACAGCTCGTTTGCCATTCCTTAAAATTACATAAAATGAATGCCCTTACCTTCTTCATCTCTTCCTCAAACATCTTCTCCAGGTATTTGTACCGACGCATCAGTTTCACAAACACCTGTAAATTTCACAGTTCATATAACAAATGTATGGAAAAAAAACATTTATGACTATTGCTTTATGAGTTCATTCAGAAGAAATTGAACGAGAAAGGTTTTCTCAACATATTGATTCAGGACTCTAGCCATGTTTTCATCATTTTGGTGATGTGGAATATTATTCCGATTTAGCACACCGCTTTACTTTCCTATCGTCGCGGGTTCGATTCTTCGCATAGTACAAACATTTGTATTCATGAGTATGATTGTTCGTATCTGTCTGGCTGACTTCTATGTATATGAATGTATTTACAAATATATATGTATCTCATCTTAAAAATATATATGCATCTAATCATGCTGTTCACTGAGTAACTCGACTCTTTCGTATCCCTGTGGCACCTAAAATGTATTTTAATATTTATTTTATGTTCTTATTTTATGTGTAAGTTAATGTGTTGTTTTTTTTATTATTATTATTCTTATGTGATATTTTCTTACACTTGTTAAATGAATTTTATTTGTACTCTCTTTGTGTTATGTGGATACGAATAAAGATTTTTACCTATCTATCTATCTAAGTCTTTATATCTGTTTCTAGTACCCAAAACACAAGGTCTGCTTACTTTGTGATTAGATGACGCCGAGTTAATTGTTCGGGGGTTTATTATTAATTTCCTTGAAAATATTGTTTGTTACCACGGGTACTTCCCTGCATATCTATGACAATAATTTGGTCCTAACAATCCTTCTGATTTTTAGACATATGTAGGAAGTTATGGGTATGCAGTAGGTCAAATATGTATGATTTTTTTATTGGGGTTTTCGGCTATTGTTAGGTTCTAGACCTGTATCACTGCGACTTACATTCTATTGTGCTCGTCCTTTTTAAGAATTCGCTACCTAGACTTGTCAGGGACAAGAATTGGAGGATATTCTTAGGACCGATGGTTAGTATCTCCTCTGGATACTTTCCTGGATAAAAATATTTCGTTTACCGCATGAGTGGGCTACAATATACGATGTTTAATGGCGTTTCGTGATATATATAGTGAAACGTTATATTCACCTGTTCGAAGTTACGCATGTTGTCCATATCGTCGTTGGCTGTGAAGATGCATGTGTTGGTCTTGGGCGACTCGCCGTCCATAGACACCGAGCCGCCGGGCACTGCGCCGCGGACAGACAAACAACCACATTACTAACATGTACTATATAGAGAATGTACAACAATATCAAAGTTATAAATCAGATATATTTACGAACGAACAAATGGTTTGTCAACATTAGGTTCAGGACTCTAGCCAGAATTTTCATCATGTGAAAGTAGATATAGCCCTTATGTTTATTATCTGTACATATAAATAAGATTGGAGTGTCTGTTTGTAATATTGAAATAACCGTTTTTCACTACATGCATATGAATATAAATACAGTACATACACCAATATAACATTTTTTACAATTTCTGTCTGCTGTTAGTTCTGGCTAATCTCTGAAATTACTGGACTGATTTTGACGGAAATTTATTGGCAGGTAGCTGATGTAATAAGGAGTAACTTGGGCTACTTTTATTTTAGAAAGATAAATAATGTTATATTCCACGCGGACGAAGTCGCGAGAACAGCTAGTTTATTTATATACACACTATCATCACAGGCATATGCCCAATACAACAGTGCATCCAATATTACAACACCGGTTTGGTACCATAGCATATAAAACAAAGTCGATGTCGCTGTCTGTCCGTCCCTATGTATACTTACTTAAATCTTTAAAACTACGCAACGGATTTTGAAGCGTTTTTTTAAAATACATAGAGTGATTCAGGATGTTTGGATTTACATATACATAATACATGTACAACCCGTGCGAAGCCGGGGCGAGTAACTAGTAGCATATAAAATACAATGCGGTCTAAAGACTACATGCAAATAAATTCGTTCCCTTTGCTACTTGATTGAGCCGATTGATGTTCACGCTTGATCCCCAAGAGGTAAGCACAGAGAAGCATACCTGCAACTACGCCAAATAGGGGGAAAGGGGATTGTTAGTAATGTGGAATGATCTCATTGCTAGCAATGTACCATGTCAGGTTGACCTCCACGCGGTTCCCCCTGGAAACCATCGTGATAAATTCCTGGTAAATTTGTCACGATGTGCTAACTGACCTGACCTCATGCTCATCCTATCATCCTCCACTGGTGCCCCGCCAGCGTAAACCGTTAGCGCAGGCGGTGCACCATTCAATTATCATCCATAAAAAAAAATTACGCCAAATATATTCTAATATTGGAGTTAGACATTCTAAACAGTCTGAATACCTCAGTCGTATCTAATATATGCTGCACATACGACAAAAATATACTAAAAGTTGGTTAAATATATATTTAATCGCTTAATGTGTTTATGTATATGCTTAGGTTGTTATGTATTTATATAGTAATATATATTTGCTTTAATATATTTAGTATAGTATCGTTTTATATATGTATTATAATATGTAGATTTATTAACTGTACATAGTAATATTCTATTTGTGTATTTAGGACTCTTGCACTACCATTATCCGCTAAATATGTCCACTGTCGCAGCGTTAGGTTGGCTGGAAGAGATCTCTTTCAGATATAAGCCCACCCTTGCTCACATTTTTATTTATAAACAAGCTGTCCCGGCAAACGTTTTTTGCCTTAAAAAAAAAAAAATTAGGGATGGACTACCCCTAACATTTAGGGGGATGAAAATAATTGTTAGCCGATTCTCAGACCTACTCAATACGCTCACAAAATTCAGAATCGGTCAAGCCGTTTCGGAGGAGTATGGGAACGAAAACTGTGACACGAGAATTTTATATATAAGATATGTTGTTTCTTACTATATATAAGAGCAATAAAGAATATATAATTAAATTGTAACCTTGGAGCTAGACTTGATAAAAGGTCTACGTCACCAATTCCAACCGTCAATCAATTTAGCTTTGTAATGTATATTTCGCTTGAAGAGTTAGATATGGCAGTGAAATCACAGTAGAAGCATGACCTCTTAGTCAAACGTGTCACACACAGTCATCCTGTGATATCCGTTGTGCCGTTCATATATATAGTTTACCATTTACCATCAGGGGACCGTCAGCTTATTTACCATTCCACTTAGAAAAGGAAACTAGACAAATCGAACTTCATAAATACCTTTTGACATAGCTTTCAGTACGATTTACATACATTACATAAAATATGTAAATACAGTAATGTCTCTATAACACAGTGGATTGGTCTCGCGTTATAGGAAAACGCGTTGTATGAGCATTCCCGTATAACGTCTCGCGTTATAGGAGCATTCCCGTATAACGCGTTTTACTCCGCATAAACACAACGCGTTACGTATAAATTATTTACATCTAACTTTTCTTACAAAAGTTAAAATCGAATATTAAGAATAAAAATTATATTATGAACAAACAATGCACGTTTTATTAAATTCAAACTAAACTAAGAGCATTTAAAATAATAAAAATCTTATGCGTATGAACAAAAAAAAAATATGTACTCAATTTCGAAGTACAGAAATGTAATGTGAGAAATACCCGTTTGTATGGGGAATACTCGTGTTATATGGAGAATAGAAGAGAAAATGCGTTATGGGAGTACCGTGTTATAAGGGTAATTACTGTATTACTAACAGTTTCAGTATCCCATCAACATAGCTAATCGATCTATAATATATAAATATCTCATAGATTTTATTGTGATTAGATACCAAAAACACTGTAGTTATGTAGACATTAATAACAGTTTCAGTATTGACTAACGGGTTCAACACCTCGCCTTGTCATATAAACGTACAGCTTTACGGCCTCGACCCCGTACAAAACCATTAAATGCCAACATTGGATCAATCACCCTATATCCACTGCGCAAATAATACCTACGCTTCTCCATAGTAATGAATACACAACCAAATTTCATTCACCAATCATATTCAATGACTAGCTGTTCCCGCGACTTCGTACGTGTGGAATTTAATTTAAATTCCACACGTAAAAGTAAAATATTTTAAAGTAATATTAGGTACTACTACTAAGTTACTCCTTATTACATCAGCTACCTCCTTATTACATCAGGTCCAGCCATTTCAGAAATTAACCGGAATAGAGAGACATACAAAAATTGTAAAAAATGTTATTTTGGTGTATGTATCGTATTTATATTTATATGCATGTAGTAAAAACGTTTATTTTAATATTACAAACAGACACTGCAAAATATTATAATCTATACATATAAATTTTTATTTACATGTATAGATTATAATTTTTTACATGTTTTATACATTTTGTATGAACAAATTAATAAATAGTATAGACTTCTCTGGATGATGAAACAACTACATCCTCTAGGATTTTAATCTATTCTATCCATTAAAATAGACCGATCAGGTGAAATAGCTAGAATTGAGAAAGGCTTGTTCTGGAATTTTTAGTTGAGCCTTCTTTTATAAAGTACTAAGCTACTGAAAATATTATACTAAGCATAAAATGCGGTTAATTAACCGTTAATAACGAAAGATGCATTTTTAACCGCTTGGTTAAAATCAATAACCACCTTTGCATCTATACACATCTCTATCGACCCTCTGACGTGGGGATCGGATTTTGAAGATTTCCGCACAGGAATTTTTGAAGGTAATTAAAAAAAAAAGTGCTGTACTTACGTAGCAAGCCGCCCGCGATGAGGACATCAAATATGACCTCCCCATAGCGGCGGTAGTCAAGTTTGGAGCCTGCCGAATCTAGGAACTTGTAAGCCGCGTCGAGGTCACCGCCGGCGCGCTCCAGCCCCTGCACCAGCGCGTCGCGGAACCCGTTAGGGTCATACTTCTCTTTCTCATCTGGGAAAGAACGACATGTAACATTATTAATTCTGTTTCATATACTTTTCAAAGGGGATATTTCGTTTATGCATGAGTGGGCTACAACCACATGTGTAGTGGCGTTTCCTCTTCTGCTTGGCAAAATCTGTAGATTGATGTTAAGTTAAATACATAAGGTCACCTCACTATTGAAGCAATCTACGATTTAATGAGGTGTCGCTACATAATAAAGGCATCGTGGTAAGTTGCCATTTGCTACAATAGACTGACTGGAACTCATGTTCAACCTATCATCCTTTACTGGTGCTCCGAAAGCCTAAATCGTTGGCAATCCATCCATCAAATCTTCCATTTCACTATCATTCATTAAAAAAATATGTAACTAAGAAAAGCACCCTGACTGATACAAACATCATCATCTGCTTCTTCCTTATCCCATTTAGTTGGGGTCGGCGTAATATATTTTTCTCTTCCATTCATATCTGTTCGCAGTCATCCCGTTATTTACTCCCTTAGGTAAGCATACCATCTTTCACACAGTCCATCCATCTCTTTTTCGGTCTTCCTCTACCCTTATAACCATCCACATTCATATGTAACACCGTCCTTAGGATATGATCTTCATTCCTACGCACTACATTACCTGACTGATACAAACATCATCATCTGCTTCTTCCTTATCCCATTTATTTGGGGTCGGCGTAATATGTTTTTCTCTTCCATTCATCTCTGTTCGCAGTCATTCCGTTATTTACTCCCTTTCTCACCATATCATCTTTCACACAGTCCATCCATCTCTTTTTCGGTCTTCCTCTACCCTTATAACCATCCACATTCATATGTAACACCGTCCTTAGGATATGATCTTCATTCCTACGCATTACATTACCTGACTGATACAAACAATCATAGTCAATAATATAAATGTTTGCGCGTGCCAGGACCGAACCCTACTATTGGAAGTAAAGAGGTGATCTAAATCGCTAAACCACCGAGTTCGTCACAATAATATAATATTACAAATACTTATTAATATAATAGCCCCTATCGACAGAGAATCAAATCGTACTATGCATATGGTAGACGATACAATTTGAGACACCCTATCGATATTTTACATAAGCATCATTTTAGTCTGTGTATATAATCATTATACATAAATTTTACGTGTCACGTTGTTTGTCGCAATGAACTCGTAAACTACTGAACCGATTGCAAATTTTAATTGCACATTGCCTGCAATTATCATTTTAGTCTGTGTATATAATCATTATACATAAATTTTACGTGTCACGTTGTTTGTCGCGATGGACTCCTACTACTGAACCGATTGCAAATTTGATTTGTATATTGTGTGCAATGTGATCCAACTTGAAAGTATATTTTATTCAAGAAACTATTATTTTATTCAAGAACCTTAGCCACAGCAACGCGTGGCAGGGTCTGCTTGTTTAATTACAAAGTTGGCAACGTAATAAATAGTAATATCACGTGTAATACAATAAAATAAAAATTACTATGTATGACAAGTGTGATACACAAATAAATAAATCCTGATAACTTTATGCAGATACTACGATGATTATTATTATGTTATCATATCATGTATAATGTATAAATCTGTTTTGTAATACGGATCAAAACATACAGATTACGTAGTATGATTAAATTCTAGAATATTCAAGTCAAGTCTAGTGGTAATATAATTAAATTAAGTATTTATTAATTAAAAAAATAATGCACAAATAAAGGTGCATATTTTGGACTAAACACTTTGAGGTCTGTCTCTCTCTGCCCAATGGTTGACTGGGAGAAAATTTCCAGTCAACCATTGAGCAAACAGAGATTCATGTCGGCAGTGCATTATCTATTATATATTTATAGCCTTATATAAAAAATCCAATACTAATAAATAACCCTGGACAGTTAACACAGCGACATCTAGTCTCACATTAGAGCTTGTGTTATGGCTACTAAACAATTGATATAAAAATACTTAGATATATATTTTTTTGTAAATACATACATAATATGAATAGAAAACAACCAGGCCAATACAAATAATAATAATCGTGAATATAAATGTTTACACCGTGTGGAATCGAACCCACAACTATAGGAACTGAAGCGATGTGGTCAACCACTATACCGATCAAATGTAGGTATTATATTAGATTAATCTACATTTTTGTCATTATCTCAATAAAAAAAAGTTATATATTAATATATCAATATTAAGGGATGGCAAAACTTTTTTTTAAATATAGGGAAGTATGACTACTTTTTTTAAAAGTGAGCGTACAAGTTTTACTACTCGAGGACTATGGTTATCATCTGACTAGTAATATGGTATCAGTTATAAACTTTAGTTGTAAGTTATAAATAAGTAAAGCGAGCGGATTTTATGTGGCTAACTCATTATCGGATACTCATACTCGGATGCCTTCCGTACGTAAAATCATTGGAGTCTGAGACCATGGGCGGTGTCAATGGCCTAATAACGGTACCATAACTGTCTACATACTGCAGAACTAATTGTAGGCTCACCGACAAAATATATACACATAAATATATACTGTGTCCGCGACTTTATCCGCGTGGAATATACTAAGACGAGTGTACCATTCCATTAAAAAATATATAGAACTACATAATTAATGCATCGTTCGTTCATGCTCGGTCAAGCGTTAATTACATCGACACGTCGCTTCGCTTCGTAGACATACATACATACATGCATGCATGTATATTACTGACAAGATATGGTCACCTGACAACGTCTATATTTGTCACCAGTTCAACACTTCCTTGTTCACCAGATAAGATAAACACACCGTGAGACGCCGTTTTATTGTCGCCATTTACCTATTTATGTAACGATAGTGTATCGTTACGCAATATGTGCTAACGTTATCATTTTTTTTATAGTATATCTTTTTTTGTAACTGGAATGGGCAAAGAAGCCTTCGAATACCAACTGACAGTTTTCGAGAGTTCTCACAGCGACCACATCGTTTTCCCGAGTAGAAACAAACCCCAATGTGCGGGACTGTGTGTAGGGCGCTGGGGTCGGTGCAGCCAACTATGGTGGTAATTAAAAGCGCAAGATGGTGGTAATTAAATAGGTACATGTGGGGGAAATAAGGTTGACAGTAATGTGAATTCATAAACCCATTGCTAGCAATATACCGTACCAGGTTTACCTCCACCTTCCCCCTGGTGAATTTGTCACGATGGGTTAACTGACCTGACCCGATACTCATCCAATAATCCTCCATTGGTGCCCCGCCAGCGTAAACCGTTTCCACACACTATTTAACTATCATCCATATAAAAAAAGTAGACCTACACGTGGTTCGCCCTGGAAACCATTGTGTTAAGTTCTTGGTGAATTTGTCACGAACTACCTGACCTAATCTGATACTCATCTTTTCATCCTCCACTGGTGCCCCAGCGTAAAACATTACCGCAGGGGGGTGCAATTGCAGTTTTTATGTTATGTGCATATTGCGATCTCTGTAATTGCATCCATCATATTATTCCATTACACACCTTTCTACAAAGCGCTGTATTTTTATTTCGCATCGATATCAACTTTAACACCATTATATTATCAATTTAAAGAAACATAGTTAGGTGAAACCATAGATGACATGTGATCCCAGAGCGTCCGTATTCACCCTAACGCCTATTGTAATAACACGGAACAACCGGAGTGGAACCACGACACTTTCCCCACACACCATAGTGATACGCTTTCTACAATTATTGTACACTAGCTGATGCCCGCGGGTTCTTCTGCGTAGTATTAACAGTTCGAGGAAGACAACCATGCATTGAGCATTTAGCGTTTTTTTTTAATAACACGGGAATTCACCATCATATTTTTTATATAGTTTGTGGTCTCTTTAAACTGTACACTATATGATGTCATATCAACACTGATATCATTCCTACCTATCCTGTGAGTCAAGCTATCAAAAAGTTTATTAAGTATACGTGATGATACTGTGTTTATAGTTTGCGGATATGAATACTCTCTCTCTCTCCTAAAGATATCTCAATTTAAGAGCCGGGCTAGGGTCAGAGATGCTCCCAAATGGTAAGGGACCATTTCCCACAAATTTCCAATTCCATCAATAACTTTAATTGTTGATACGAAACGACTATTTCATTCTTTCTAAAAGGAAGAAGTTTAAAATTTTGTAACATTACTTAAATTTTAGTATTAAGACACGAAATTATAAGTATTAAAATTTGAAAAAACCGTAACTGGTACTAAATATGTATATATAATATAATATGTAATATATATTTTTAAAAACATACTTAAATACAATAGCAGTCTGTTGAAATACAGGACTAGTCTTCAGGTAGTCTCACGACACCAATTCTATTGTTCGCACGTCTTTGAAGCAACTAAAAAAACATGTCTTTTGTCTCGCTCAGACTCTGCGCTCTATGGTATAGTGGAGGGGACAGCTGACATTTAAGGCCGAGTTTTTATAGTATCTGTACTCCATACTAAAATTTTAAATGCGAATTGGTACTTTTCCATGATTAACGGCTGAACGGATCTTAATGTAATTTAACAAATATAGACTGTTCTATGAAGACCATATAGGTTACCTTTTATCTCAAAAAATAATCCAGCAGGGGAGTAAAATAGGGGATGAAAGTTTGTGCAGACGAAGTGCAGGGAAATAGCTAGTTAATTATAAATGCCAAATGGTCTGTCTGCCAGTCTTTTTGTTAGATAGATAGATAAAACTTTTATTTTGCATTAAAGGTTGTTAATCTCGGAGGGGGTGAAATGGAGGACGAAAGTTTATGCAGACAAAACAGGCATAGCTAATGCATTATAAATGCCAAATCGTCTGTCTGTCAGTATGTATCTTAGATAGATAGATAAAACTATAATTGCGTTAAAGGTTGTTACTTTTTCATTACCAAATGGCTCAACAATTTTTAACTGAATTTGATATGAAGATAGATCCATCACGAGGATGTACCTAGGC